GGAAGGAGACGCGTTTCCACTCCCTTCCCACTCCGCATGCCCTTCCTTGGGACTTGGGATAGGCCAGGAGGAAGGGAAGGAGGGCCTCTTGCAAGCCTGCTCTTTGCCCCCACAGCCTCCTTGCCTTGCGTCTAAGCAACTCTACCCTTTTCTCTCTCTCGCCATAGAGTGGTGGGAGCTTGCCTTGGTGAGGCCCCCTCTCAAAGCCGTTGGTGGCTTGGATGAATGGCATCCCGCCACCACAGCTGCTCCCTGGGGCTCCTTCCCAGCAGCCCAATCCCAGCCTTCCACTGCCACGTGGCAGGCTCTGCGACAAGCCGCTTTTAAGGGCTGTTGACCTTCTTTGTACATTTATGTATTGAATTTGCGCTCAAAATAAATTAACTGCTTCACCAGCGCCCTCTTGCTAGAGCTCCGCTTCCCTGGCTGGGGCTTGGAGGTGTATGCGCCTGCCTGCAGCTCCCTGGGCTCAGGCTTCGCAGCAGCAGATCTTACTTCTGAGGAAGCAGTGACCTGATCCCTTCTTGGGAAATGTCAGAGCATATGAAAGCTGTTGCACGGAGGGCTGGGTGTTTGGCACACGGCACTGCTGCCAGAATGCACACCGTGCCCTCATGATGTCACGTTGCGATGTGATCACGGTGTGCGCACACTGGGTGCCCACAATCTGGGGCCCAAGTTAGCAGCCCTGTTGGGTTATAATGACCTGTCTAACCCTGTCCCCCAAAGAAGCACTGGAGCTAATTTCAACAGTCCTCTACATAACTTGTATTTATTTAAGTGTGACTTCTAGTATCCGCTTTGACATGACTAGGCTCTATTGGACCAAGGGTTCTCCTAATTAGTTGGAAGATTTTTTTTATGGAACATCTCACCTCATTTTGTGAAGGGACATGTTGACCGCTGTAATGAATCCATCTGTTTCTGCAGCTAAATTTTTGCTAGCTGTTCTGTTCCAGAATGATGCTTTGGAAAGAAACCTTGAAAATTGTAACATGCAGAAATCACTTTAATCTGCTTCTTGAGATGTCAAAGTCTTCACCTATTGAATTAATTAAAAGTGAGTGTCTTGAACTTGAGCAGGATACATGACAACCAATCAAAATGTGGACCCTCTTTTCTCTGATGATTCTTAAATGATAACAGCGTAGAAAATGGAAAATATCTGGGGGGCAGAAGAAAATCCTATAGAGCTGGAGATAGTAAACATGAACACTCTCCGGGCATCTTTTTTCCAGGCCAATAGGCAGCTGCTTAGTGCACATTGACCATACACTGGATTTGTTCCATATAATTACCAATCTGAAAGCTCAGTCTCAAACAGCCAACTTTGCATAAATCTACTGAGGAAGAAAATTGTGAGATGGTTCATCATGTCATAACAGATGGCTGTTGAATGAACTCCTTCTTTCAGGAAGCAGGTAAGTATTTGTCTACTTAACCAAGCTCCTCGACACATCCCAAGTCTTTTCATTACTGACATATCAGCAGCCTACCCTGCAAGGTTGTTCTTAGGACCTTCACAATAAAGTTTCTAAGGTATTTTATGGACTGTAGGGTTTTGTGTGGGCCAATGGACAGGTCTCACTGTTGTTTGACATTTCCAGGGGCACTAAGCAAGGTTATCCATTGTTGCCACTTATTTTTTCTCTGTGACAGAACCACTCATTAGAGAACTAAGAATGGATGGCACAATAAAAGTTCTCCAGTCCTATGGAACTACTCACTTTTTGTGTGTGTGTGGATAACATTGCTCTCATTTTGATAAACTCGGGGCTTAACTCCCTTGGAAGGTGGTGGGCTCTCCTTCATTGGATGTTTTTCAGTGAGGTCAGATGGTTGTCTGTCATGGATTCTTCAGTGATTCCTGCACTGTAGGGGGTTGGAATCAGATGACCCTCAGGGACCCATTCAACTTTACAGTTTTATGGTTGTATTATCTACACTTGTCTTTCCCCCAGTCTTTTCAGGCATGGTCCGCAATTTAAAGCTTCCTGTCCATGTGTTTTTTGCTTGTTTTTCTTTTTTTGGCCCAGAGCTTTCCTCTTGAAAATCCGTTCTTTGAAGCTCAATCGGAGTGAATCGGAGCTCAATCTGTGGAAACCCTGAATTGACGTTTGCTCTGATTCAGCTTTAAAGACTGGGTTTTCACAGGGAAAATGGGGGGGGGCATGATCAAACACAGAAAGTTAAAGCGTGGAACACTGCCTGGAAGGAGTGGGACAAAAGGAAATGAAGCAATCAACAAATTGACTGAGTGAGGAACACTATATATTGAAGATTGAAGATGATACATAAACCAGACCTGGATAAATTAAAGCCCAAAAGGAGACATTAAACTTGACCTTAGCTCAACAACTACAATAAATAAAATTAAGAATGTGTACCATGACCTTTAAATGTTTTAGTGTAATGATTCTTAAAAACTTACTGAGTATATAAGAATTTAATTACAGACATTTGCTAAAGGAAATTAAAAGAGATTGCATGAATAGCTGCATATTCCTCTGATGCTGGAGAGCGCGGCAGCAATTAAATGATTACATTACCAAAGCTGCTGTTCCTGTTGCAAACTATCCCTATTGCTATCTATCTGGCAATACAGAATGGCAATACAGAATAATTGGAATGTCTACTTATTGACTTTATACATAAGGGCAAAAAGCCACATTTGCAGTAAGCAACAATGTACTAACTCTGGGGAGATGGGTATATGAAATTCAGCATTATATCATGATGCAGTACATCTTAAAAAAAACCCTAATCTAAATCAATCATGGAGACAAGTTTAGTCGATCGTTGCTAACAATGGAATATTCCTTGGGATCACTGAATTAGAGCTTTACCATTCACCTTTAGAGCTAAAAAGCATTTATACAAATTGAAAAGGCCTTTTTGCTTAACTGGTTCAAATGTTTGGGATATAGGGATAAAAATATTGTTGCCCACTTTATCACCTCTAACCTCTAGATTAAATCACCAGTTGTTCTATAGTTCAGATAAATTCAAACAATTTAAGGCATGGGAAATGGGCAGGGGGTATGCATACAATTAGAGATCAGTCCATAATTTGACCATGATTGTGGATGAATGGGCTGATCTAGGTCGTCTTACCAAGACTTGAGTGAGTGTCCTGGGGGGACCTCACCTTGCCCAGCTGTGTCCACTTGTGTACTTGGTTACAGCATCAGGTTAGACTAGGGCGTCAAGGGGGGTGTTCCTGTTGGCTATAAAAGCACTATCTACTTTACTTGAAAATCTCTTTACCTTTGAGGGTTTGGATTTTTTTGTTTTGTTTTGTTTACTATCAAGCTGTGTATATTTTTTTTAAAAAAATAAAAATGATAATGGAGACAAAGGACACTTTATAAGAGTTTATTGGTTTCATTGTGGCCCATATACTGAAATTGGAAATTAGTTTATCTAATTTGATGGAGAAGTGGTATTCTCAAATTGGGTTGGTGGCCTTTATGGAAAAACTTGCTTGTCAACTGAAGAAATAAGTTTTATGTGAAATTGTTTTGTTTTATTAAATAAGTTTCATTCAGAGAGTATGACATGATTGGCTTCTCCCAAACCATGCAGCTTTATGGAGTGATATTATGGGCTAAGTTGTTTTTCCTCGTTCTCTTTGTGTTTGCAAATTGATTACTTTTATTATGGTTCTCTGATAGCTTCATTAGTGTTCATTTCTTTATGTGTTATCAATTGTATATTTGCAGATTTTCTACTGTCTACTTGTTTTGATTTCCTGTTTGCTGAAATAAAATGTAAATGTGTATTCTGGGTCTTCGCTTGCTTTCCTTTGATATGGGAAATATGAGTAAACTATTCTTTTAAAAAGAAAGATTGTAAGGTATTCTGCCATTAGGAATACATAAACTTCCCAAATTATTTCCACGACCTCCATTTCCTGAAAAAGTGGGTGCTCAGTTTTGAGCTGAAAATATATTTAAGGGATGCTTTAGGAAATTGATCTTCATGGATTCTGATCTGACCTGACTTGATTTATACCTCACAGACATATGTGGATCAGAACTTTAGTTATCTGTCAACTTCCAGAATGTTCTAATATGGTTCTTGACTCAAAAATTGATCAAAATACATTAAATATATATTCTGATATAATATAATTTTAGATATATCTATTTAAATGCAAATTTTCATGCAAGCTAAAAAAATTGCAAATTAATGCAGAAATAGGGTGGAATTGACTTATGGGTGCATACATACAAAAGTGACATATTGCTAATGTTTTCTGTATTGCTACTGCAAATCGATGCACAACAGGCAGATTACCTCGCAATTCTATATGAGGCTGGGCTTCACTTAACTGAATTTACTATTCAAACAGCTGAAGTTTAATACTGCTTTTACTGCCAGTTTGATATTTCACAAGCTGCTACTCATTGCAAATGGTTTTACTATTGTTCATTAAAAGTTCTTGTTATTGCAGATTAGCAATCACTGATTTTAGAACTGATTTTGGGACACATTACTGGAACTGTGCCCAAGTAAAATTTGTCCCCAGGTAAAATCATGAATATTTTTTGTACCCCTATATTTCTATATAGCTTCACATGTAAACAACAAAAATTTATGACTTCCTACTGAAGCAAGGAACAATATAAGCTGCTTTTTGCATTAACTGGTTTACATAGGGCAGTCTACCAAACAGGGCAGCTAAATCTACTGTCCCATCTGGCCCTGCAGTAATAAACTTTCCTGCCTGGTTGCTTGAAGGTGATTCTTAATATAGGTGTCCATGATAATTACCAAGCTGATATAAACATCTCCCAAGATGGCATTTCTTATGCAGAGCTGCAAGTACTAGTATTGAGTTGTCTTGAACACAGTTCTATCAATGATGAATGTGTATGTTTGCAGAGTGGAGAAGGAGTCAGATTTATGTCAGCTGACCTTACCACTGCCTCCACATATTTATCCAAATCTCTGCACACCGCCAAATGCATAAACGCTGTATGCATATAGACTCTTCCTCACAATCCGTATCTTGCATTTTTGCAGTAACTGAAAGAGAAAAAGAAGGAAAACTGACAGAGCTTTCAACTTATTTGCTACCACTCCAGATGGATTTTTTTAATACACAGATTAAAGCCAAAATCAGATGGAACAGATTTATACACATTTGAAAGTGACACAGACTGGAAGTAGACTGAACCATCCGCCCTTCCCTAGGAGTGGCTCAATCACAAAGGATGAGTATAATTCCAGTCCCAACAAAAACTCTACACAGACTTTTATTGTGCACATGCAGGGATTGGAAGGGGAACGAGCACAATGTGCACTGGCCCTTACTTTCATGCAGTCAACTGTAAATGCAAAACCGCATGTGTGAATGGGAAACCTGCAGAAAACAAATTACTAAATATTGACAAGTCTAACCTATGTATATTAGGGTGTGCAATGCACTGACCACAAGATAAAGTTCAGACCCCAATTCAGACTTTTTTGCTTTTTAAAAAAGTAGCCTGCTAACCAGATCACAAGCTGATGCTTTGACAACAAGTTTCTAAGATAACATCTGGCACAAGAAGTATCTTTATGATGGCATATTCATGAAAAACTCTCCCGCCCCTCTCTCTGGTCCTTTTAAGGAAGAACTCTCTGTGCCTCAGAGGTATCCCATATTTCTCACCAATATTGATGTATCACTCTGAAGGGCCGTCGCTCAGTGGCAGGCAATCTGCCTTGCAAGCGGAAGGTCCCAGATTCTTGGCAGAGACTCCTGCCTGGAGAGCAGCTGCCAGTCCAGGTGGGCAACAATGAACAAGAACAACCAATAATCTGACTTAGCACGAGGCAGCTTCCTGTGTGTGAGAGAAGGCTTTATTTATTTATTTATTTATTTATTTACGGCTATTAGCCCATAAAGTATGTACAAACTTAAAAGCACAGAGGCATAAAAACTAATATATTCGGCACCAGAAGGTGAACACCATGATGCAGGGGTGGGTCATTGAGCAGAGCCAGATAACAGCTTGGGGCCCGGAGAGCTCCAAGGGACGGATCCCAGAAAAGGAGAACTGAAGACGAGATCCGACATGCACTCTCTTCAAAACTGTCCGATTAGTTTTTGATGTTGTTGTTTTTGTGTGTGAGATAACTGCATTCAGGAATCTCGCCACCTGCAGAGTTACAGAAGGATCTGTATCCTGCAAAAGTAGTGCGGCATGTGACTCAGCAGGCCTGCCAACCAAGCGCAGTAGAGCAGGGCCCAGGAATTTAGTCCTGGCTATGCTATGTAGGGGGCAGTTGAACATTATATGTGAGAGAGAATCAACAGTTTTCCCGTCACACACGCATAGCGGAGACACCAAACCCTTGGAAAATCTATGGCTCAGCAGGTTCGATGGAAAGACATTGAACCTTGCACGAATAAATGCATGTCGGTGTGGTACAGATGAAAGAGATGACATGTATGATGGAAGGCCAAGTGGTGGGGTTATTCCGTGATACCTGGGGGAGCAGACACCGTCACCCCCGGCGAGGTTGTGTTGATTTTCAATGTCTGCTAATCTCTGCTCAATAAGTCTTTTGGCTGAGCGTAAGTTCATCTTTAAGGAGTCCGCTGGGGAAATTCCGATGCTCAGAAGTTTGGCATGGATTTTTCCTACCCACGGATTGACAAAGTCGTCCCGCCAGAGGCACTGAAAAAGGTAATGGTTGGGAAGCCTGTGCCAGCTGGACAGCCAATAACCAAAGACTCGCTTCCAGATGACCGTCTCCAATGATGCAATCATTAACTCCAGACGTATGGCTGCGTTGCTCACACACATGGGGAGTTTCAGGAGGCGACGGAGAAACTGATTCTGCAATGTCCCGAAAAGGTGCATAACTGACAAGAATTTTAGTAAGTGCCTTATATAGAAAAAGAGATGCAGCAGTTTTCAGCTGGAAAGATAGAACTGAAAATGAAAGCACAATGCTTGAAAGGGGACTCAGGTGCTGCCTAGTATGGCAATGCAGAAGGGCCAATAAGCTTCAGGTATGCCATTTCAATGCATGCAGAGGCCTGCAGACAGATGTTTGACTGCATATGGCCCAGAGTTGGCCTGCGGAGACAGTTCCTCTTCCCCATCTGCAGTGTGTGCTCATGTTGAAAGTGTCTGTCGAGCTACCACATAAACAGCTGCACAGGTTCCTAATCTCTCTTTTAAAACTGTTTGGAAAATACGTCTCTTATTCTTTCAACACCATTATGAGTGTCATTTATTAGCCCATTTGTCAAAATCCAAAAAGGGGAAATATTGTCTGCCCTGGTCTTTTCCCATTCTGTATTTAATACTGCTGTGATCTTCAAAGTGGACTTATTTAGCTTATTCTATTCCTGCTGGCAGTGAGATCTGAGGCCATTTTCTCCACAAGTTATGTTTCAATATCCTCCAACTAATTCATTAGATCAAAGTGCAAGTGAAAACCCTCAGCCCTTCATTACAGATGTCAGTGATGAGATCAGAGGGGCGAGTAATGCTTTCAGACAGCCTTTTTCATGAATATGGCAGTTAATATAGACATTTCCATCTCTGGACTATTTAAATGCTGCAAAGGTTACAGGAGTTGGCTATTTCATTTTCTTGATGCTCTGCTGACACCTCCTGGAATCTAGATGGGTATCTAAAAGCTTTAAACACGCCCATCAGCATTTAAAATAAACTTTAACAGCAATTTACTTTTTTCCATTCCTACTGAATGGAATAACTCTCATTATGCAAAAACTTTAACATTTGCATCATATTCCATCTTTACATACACACCCCTCCCTATTTTATTTTGTTTAAAAATTTGGACTTGGTTCTGATAATAAAAAACCCTGCTCTCATCCTATCTTCTATCAGTATAGCAAAACTAGTTTTTGTGTTCTAACACTCTAATGAGAACTTAGAGTGGAGCCTGCTGTTATCTCAGACCCTCCACGTGTCCCTATTTTCCAGGGATGTCCCTGATTTAGAGAAGCCATCCCTGTTTCTGATTTGATCCCAGAGTGTCCCACTTTTCCTTAAAAGGTAAAAGACCCCTGACAGTTAAGTCGAGTCGCGAATGACTCTGGGGTTGTGGCGCTCATCTCGCTTTACTGGTCAAGGGAGCCGACATTTGTCCACAGACAGTTTTTCCAGGTCATGTGGCCAGCATGACTAAGCCACTTCTGGCGAAACCAGAGCAGCGCACAGAAACACTTCTCCTTAGGATGTCCCTATTTTCATTGGAGCAATGTTGGAGGTTATACAGTTATAGAGTTATCTGCCTCCTGATGAACCTGAAGGCAATCCTGTATAGGGATTTTTAAAAATGTTTAATGCTTTATTATGTTTTTATATATGTTGGAAGCTGCCCAGAGTGGCTGGGTCAACCCAGTAATATGTGTGGGGCATAAATAGGAATGTCCTGTCCCATAATGATTTTACTATTTTTATCTGAGAAATCGTGGAAGTTATGTTATCTATGCAGACAACAACAGACTCTGTTCTGAGGGGCTAATTAGGTGCATTCAAATATTAATAGTTCACTCCATTCCAAAAATCAATAAATTTAGGAAAATAACTTTAGAGACACAAAGTAAACAACATAAGTTTGCTAAGTAAATAAGCATAGCAGCCCTGCAGGGACAAATTGGGAGTCTGTCTAGTGCAAGGATAGTCAGCGTTTTTATACCTACCACCCACTAATGCATCTTTCTTGATGGTAAAATTTCCACCAGTGCTTGATGGAAAGAGGATTCAGCTTGTGCCATAGAACCCCCTACCGCTCGCCTAGAATCCTGAAACACCTACTAGTGGGCAGTAGGTACCAGGCTGACAACCCCTGGTCTAGTGCATCTGGTAGCTACAAGTCAATATGTTTTTGCCCTAGGTATTGCTAAGACCCTGAACTATACGCACGAAAGTCAAAACTACCTTCTGCTGCAGATGTAACCATTATAGGCCAGAGTCATTGTCACATGCACAACATATTTCTTTGCCTGAAGTTTGCTGAGCTAAACTACATTCCTCATTCACGATAGTTTAGTTATGGTCATCCAGGCACTGGTAGCCCCCAAACTGATTACTGCCATTAAGGTTAGTGTGGAAGCCACAGCTAGAGCCATACAGCTCCTGTGATGAAAGCGCTGCAGTGACTGTTGATACGCTACTGGGCCAAGTCAAGGCGCCTGCTGTTGGCACAGAAAGGCCTGAACAACAGCTCTGCCCTTTATTCCATGCTCACACCCAAATGAACTATCCCAATGGCAGATCGGGTGCAGGAAGCAGAGAGAGGAGGAAATGCACCAAATTGGACCTGAATCCAAAATTAATTTTAAAAAGGAAAGCTTTGGATGGCCTCTTTACTCCTACCTGTGACCTCTACAGAGGCCAGAGCAAAGTGGGATGGAGCACAGGGGTGGGCTGCAGTGTAAATAGGGGACCAAGCCATTTAACATAGTAAATAGATTTATTTGCCTATCCCCTGTTCTCAGGGTTCTACAGATCGTACAACATAGGTACAAAGCCCTTAATGTGGTAGCTGTGAAAATTCTATATGTGGGGTATTATGTAACACTCTGTTATCTCCTCTTTTGTTGATTATTCTGTAACACTTATATTAAAAAATGGGGGGTGCACTTGTTAGGTTGGCTTTGTATGTTGATTATGGGTGTAGGCTCCCAACATTTTATATTAAAGGGGAACAAAGTAAGTTTTTCTTCCTTCAGTTTTATTTAAAAAATCTATCCTGTGTCGTTCCTAACTGAAGCTGCAATCCTGTACTTAATTATGTAGGAGTAAGCTGATCCCCGAAGAATTGATGCTTTTGAATTATGGTGCTGGAGGAGACTCTTGAGAGTCCCATGGACTGCAAGAAGATCAAACGTATCCATTCTTAAGGAAATCAGCCCTGAGTGCTCACTGGAAGGACAGATCCTGAAGCTGAGGCTCCAATACTTTGGCCACCGCATGAGAAGAGAAGACTCCCTGGAAAAGACCCTGATGTTGGGAAAGATGGAGGGCACAAGGAGAAGGGGACGACAGAGGATGAGATGGTTGGACAGTGTTCTCGAAGCTACCAGCATAAGTTTGACTAAACTGCGGGAGGCAGTGGAAGACAGGAGTGCCTGACATGCTCTGGTCCAGGGGGTCACGAAGAGTCGGACACGACTAAACGACTAAACAACAACAAGAAGCCCCATTAAACTTGGTGAGACTTGCTTTTGAGTAGACATGTAAATGTAAATGAGTAGACATGTAAATAACATGTACTGTTATTTACTCATCAGTGTATTTATCCCTTCCAGTCATGATCCTACACACCTGCCTGACAGCCTCTCTTTCCTGGGAATTCTCTCTCTCTCCCTTTCTTGGGGGAGGAAGTTTAATCAGATATAATTAATATGTGCTATAGGTAGCCTAATCCTGATGTGTCTGATTGAGCAGTGTTCACAACTTTTATGAAGGTAGCTACACAACCTATTTCATCTATCTATGTAGTACTTTCAGATAGCATTTAACAAGACTCCGGTTATATACTACAAGTCAGTCACAGCAGATCTAGACATTTTAGTTGAGTCTGAACCTGAAACAAGTAGAGGGTGGATGTTTCTTGGCTGCAAGTGTCACTGTCGGTTTCTGCCATGGACAGAGATAATCAAGGTGTGATTATATTCTTCAGATTCTAATGAAATGTGGAGGGAGGCAGAAAATTAGCTGTAATGACAAAATAAATCAAAAGCCATTGATATACTTTCTCTTTAAGGCAAGCATCCAAGGAACCAAGGCACCTGGAACAAAGAAATAATCTATAGAAGCAATGAAGACTGACATGATTTACACAGATTTCCTACGAAGGTAGCAGGGAGAGAAAAATGGCAAAACACCATACACATTTTTAACAGTATGGTGGTTGAGTTTCAAAGTGAGTGGGCAGAATTACATTCATAAATCTCTAAAACTGTCAATAGAAACTGACTGCACACATCCCTGTACTTCAAATTCTATTTGGTATCATTTCTATTTTTCATAGGAGTAATTTAAGTGATGAGATATCTTGGAGTAGACTTGTGTTTATATTTAAGGAAGTTCCGTGAATTTCCTCCACAATGGACAATAGGTATATGGTATTTACTAAAGAAAACATTTAACAGCTTTTAAGCTCCTCTGTTGAGAATTCCAACATAAGGCTTTGTAATACATGCTGCAATTTGGGGTGCAGAAAAGTCAAATAGCATAAGGGAAGATTGGGGTTCCTTTTCCTTTGTTTTTTTTTTTTAAGTCACTAGTTGATTCCAGCAGTTGGCTGAACATGACTGCCACACACCATCCCTTTGAGTCTGAGTGGTGCTGTGAAGTGGTTTAATGTGAGATACATTTCTGGTAACTTTATGATCTCCCTACTATGCAAAGACCACTGTGCCATTTAGCCTTGTGGTTTGATATGGCACAGGCTAGAAGAGCAGAAATAAGAATCTGGACTCAGGCTATGCTCATTAGATGAAGAGGTTTATCTCAGAGTTCCTTCCCTGCTCACAGATGCATATAGGTTGGTGTTCTTTCATCCAGAAGTTCCCTTTTCCTTGTCTGCAGTCTTGAAAAGCTGCTGTCAGTCAAAGCAAGCAGAAGAAAACCTAGAGAGATCAATGATCTTGCACAAGACAAGGCAGGTTCATACGTTTTAAGGTGGAAAGCTTGAAAAAGCAAACTTCTTAAATCTGATTAACTATTAGCCCGTAAAATCAACCATCGCTTTAGGTTTTGTGGAAAGTGGCTGAACAAATGGAAAGGAAAATATAAAAAATATATATATAAATTCCATCAGCTCCAGGCTATCTTTATAAATGAACAGTGAAAGTATTGAAAGCTTCATTTCAGTTTGCTGTATGTTTGTAAATCTAATCTTTCACCTTTCTCCTCACTAATGGGAGGCTGCTAATGGAAGAGCTTATTGTTTTTAGCTGTAGTTCCCAAAAATGCTAACAGGAATAAAGAAATGTAAAACCATGTGTATCTATTGTAAAATTATAAAAGAAACCCGTACTGATTTCTAATTATCTGCTTTGTGAAAAGGGAGAAAAATATGGATGGTTTTAGTATTTATTTATTAAAAAGGACATTTCAGTATCAGAGTGAGTATCATCCGGTAGTCTGGTAACAAGTGCTGCAAACCAGCCCTAATAGGAGGTGACTTTTTCTAATTCACATTCCTTTCTTTGAATAGGAACCAGACTGAATGGGAGGTGGGAGGTATGTGGATGCACCTCCACTCTGGACAGTGCCCCCCCAAGCTTCCACCAGGCCACAACCCCAATCCAAATTGCCCTCCTGGAACTGACATTAGCCTCAAGGGAGAAAACCGACAGCTGCAGTTCAAGTTATATGCTGCAGTGTGGCTCATTCCGAAAAAGCCTCTGCTATGCATTTGGAACCCATGTCTCTGACTTAATAGAGAACCAGTTTTATTAGACCAGATTGCACCTGGAAGTCTTTTTTTTTAAAAAAAAAAAAAAGTATTCATATACTGCTATGGCATAAGAATATATCCAAGTGGTTTACACATACACATATGCATATATAATAAAACACATTAAAATATAAAATCGGAAGCTATCAACTATTATGGAAAGTTATTTTCTTAACTGCCTGCATAAGCTAAAATTTTCAGCAGGCATTTAAAGGTTGAACAGAAGGTGCCTACTAAATTTCGATTGGCTGTGCATTTCACAGGACTGGGCTAATCACACTAGGGCCTCTATTTCATGTTGATGTCCAGCGAGGTTTGCCAACTCAGGGAACAATCAATGACAATTCTGCACATAACCTCAGTCACTGAGCTGGGATATAAAGGTTCAGGCTGTCCTTAAGGTATCCTGGACCAAAGTTGTCCAGGGCTTTGTAAATTAATTCAAAGACCTCGAACCTGGCTTAGAACCAGTGCAGATGTTTAACAATAGTGCCATGTGTTGTTAAAAATGTGCCCCCATCAGCCCACTAGCTGCTTGTATGCTCAAGGGCAGCCAACGCAAGGTAGCAAACAAGTCTAAGGATTCAGAAGGTTTATAGGTCTGGCAGTTTCGCCTGGTTCGTTACGGCTTATGGGCACAAAGAGACTGGTCTGCCTACAGTTTCATCATGATCAAAGGTGGTGGTGGTACAAAAACTAAAAAATATTGCCAGATAGCCCTCTGGTCACCAATTCAAGGTGGACCTGCAGTGTCACCATTTCATATTTTTACCTCACGCGCCTGTCAAGAAAATAGGCTGTCACCACCCTCCCCTTTGCCGTTCCATTTAGCTTCTCAGTATAACTTGCAAAGAGTATCAGGGCAGCATAAATGCACCCTCTGAAAATAATCTTAGTTCCTAGTGCACTTCTCTAAACCTCTCTTGACACTCCCCCCTCACACTCTTTATCCTTTGGTATAACCTCCTTCCAGCTTCATGAAACAAAAGTCCCCAATCTGATGAGGATCAAAGAGCAAGGGGTGTATACTGCATTCCACATAATGTGGGTATTTTAGCTTCTTCTGCCTATTTTGCAGATTTCTAAGTGAAACCGTAGGATCAAAAAGTTAAATGGTCTTGAACAAAAGATTGCTAAGCTTTTCATGTCATTTGATAGTGAGAAGCCATGTAATATCCCCTTTCTGAGTTGAACTGCTCCCAATGTGATTGAAGCCAGGGTGTAATTATAATCAGAGCTGTGGATCCACCACATTAGTGTAATAAAATCCTCCTGGTGGAAATGTTAATTGTGTAGTAATTGCAAAATGAAAGGCCTTTGCTGTAAAATAGCTTGGATAGCAGAACATGTCTGAATGAGGCAAAAGTGGTCCACAGCAAGAAGTAGTGCTCAGAACTGAAGGAGAACTTAAGAATTAGATCCTTGTTTCACTGAAGAAAAGAGTCACACAGAGAGAGTTGGGCTACCACATATAGAAGAAGAAGAAGAAGAAGAAGAAGAAGAAGAAGAAGAAGAAGAAGAAGAAGAAGACGACTTTGGATTTGATATCCCGCCTTTCACTCCCTTTAAGGAGTCTCAAAGCGGCTAACATTCTCCTTTCCCTTCCTCCCCCACAACAAACACTCTGTGAGGTGAGTGGGGCTGAGAGACTTCAGAGAAGTGTGACTGGCCCAAGGTCACCCAGCAGCTGCATCTGGAGGAGCGGAGACTCAAACCCGGTTCCCCAGATTACGAGACTACCGCTCTTAACCACTACACCACACTGGCTCTCTACACAGGATTTCAGCAGCTTCTGTGATTACTAAATGACAGCATATCTTCACTGTTCGCATATTGCACATGGGAACCTGATTATGAAGATGAGGGTGGTGATGATAGTAATTTATTACACTGCCTTCACCCTAAGAGCCCCAGGCAGCTTACAACATTAAAACACAACATTAAAATAGTTTTAAAACAGTTTTAAACAACTCAGTCACTGACACAAGATGGGTCCTAAAAAAACATGTCAGAAGTGTCAAATGCCAAGGTAAAGACATATATCTTCAGCATTTGTTGGAAGCTCTGTGATGAAGGTGCTAGACACACCCTGTGGGGAGGGGCTGCTACAGAGAATGGCTTCTCTCCCCCCCACACACACTCCACAAGGTTCCAAGGACAGTGAAACAACCCTCTGACAATCTGGAGGGAGGGAGGTGTTCTTTCAGGTATTTGGGCTTGAATCGTTTACGGTTTTAGGCACTAAGGTGTCTAAATAAGGGATGGAGACAAACTGGCAACCAAAGCATCTATTTTTAAACATAAATTTTATGATTCTATAGATTATATGAGATCTAAATTGAACCCTTAGACAGTAATCTGGCTGCTGCATTTGAAAGCAAGTGAAGTTACTGATATCTTCAAGGACAACCCAACATAGAGTGCATTGTAATAATGTTATCAGTAATCTCTGTCCAAAAGTGTCCATAGCTGGTGAACCACGCAGAGCTCAAAAAAGTCAATTCTACACACTGGGTGCATGTGGGGGCACCTGGTTCACCCCCCCCAAGATTCTGTACCCAGGGCCCAGCCCCCATGCTCCACCAGTGTACAAGGGTCATCTAATGAATTTCCAGCTTTAAACCATACTCACAACACTGAACTAATTTGCAGAAGACATGGATATGAATGACTTCCCATGCAGAAGAAATGGCAAGCCTTTCCATAGCTGACATCTTTATGAGAGAATTGCATAATGAGATTGCTTGAAAGTTTAGTACACATAGGACTTTCTTCCGGTTGGAGTGCAGCTAGTGTGATGACAGTGAAATTGAACCAGCAATATGCAAGTGTTCTCTCTCTCTCTCTCTCTCTCTCTCTCTCTCTCTCACACACACACACACACACACCTACCTCACTGTGAACTGCACTTGCCTCTCTACTTACCTCTTTGTCCTTGCCAACTGTTCTGCACAGTAAGAAGAACCTATGTCGTGTTGGTAGCAGTATTAGAGAAGTAAAACAAATATCCAAAAATGTTAGAAGAATCACAACTTTTAAAAACCAAATTTTCCAAATTTTCCAGTTTTAAAATACAAGATAACACTTTGAATGTGATGCTTTTACCTGATCTTTGGGGGAGTTTGATTACTTTGAATTCACTGGGATCTCGTGATTTCTTTGGCTGGCATTCATAGGAAGTGCTATCAATAGTCAGCCACCTGACACTGTGAAATAGTAAGTAACATTGCAAGTCCTCTATCAGATGCTTTCTTGCTCCAGATAAGACTGGGGTGTATCCACTGGTTGCACGAGCAGAAGGAAACATGCACAGCCAGTCTTTCCTTGCTTGCTTGCTTCAAAGACTTTTTGGACTCCCCCTGAACTGTCTTGCAGAAGAAAGGACACCATAAAGTGTCTCTGAGCAATTTGGAGCAATATTCCACTGAAGACACAGATATACATTATCAGTGTAATTGAAGTGATTTGGATACATGTTCTCTGTCCTAAAATCAAATGCTTCAGATCACAGTGAATATGTGTTCAAAGAACTTCTGCCACAAATCAACTCTTCATCCTAAATTACATCTGCCCTACATGGGATCAAATCTGAATAACTGTTTACAAAAATAGGAAAACAAATATCTTTTCCTCCTTTCTGAATGTTATTATGGGTCATTCTCACACCAATAAACCCACTAAGGATGAGCTACTGAGACCAACATACATAATGCCTTGCACACCATCACCCTTTGATTAAATTCATTTCTTTTTAACAGTGACATTTGCACTTGAGTGCAACAGAGGCAATTCTGCTTGAGAGATCAGTAAATTAGCACAGCTGAGAGTCCTGTGATCATTCCCCGCAAGCTGTCTTCATTTTATCCAATGAAAAAATGTCTGTCTTCCTATGCAACACATTGCAACAGGGCTGGAGATATAGCTGCCATATCCAATATGGACTGAACCCAGGACAGAAGGAAGAAAACACGAGGTAAAGAGAAATAATACACAGTGCAAAAGCTTCTTCTCCGGCATTGCTGTAGTGGGACAGCCACCTGCAAGATGCCGTAGCCTTAATGCCACCCAACTGCCCCAAAATAGAGGACGTGAACTGAGGGCATGACCACAAAAGCACCCTTTCTTTCTTTCTTTCTTTCTTTCTTTCTTTCTTTCTTAATTTATGATTTTCAGTTATATACATTTCAGTAATTTTGCAAACATTTTAGCATTTTGAAACTTGACTTCCTGTACTTCCTCTCTTTCTGCGGTTCCTTAAATTTATTTTAATATTTTCTGCATATTGACCCAATCGCCCCTGAGTGCCCTCTCCCACTTTGTGGAGCCTGATTGCCCCCTGGCATACTCCAGAGTGTAGGGCAAGGAAACAAGCTAGGAGACGACTCAAACGCAGGTGGATGAAAGATCCGAATGAATGCAACCAAACTCTGGTGAGGGCTCATCATCGAGCCTACCTAGTGGCAGTGAAGGCAGCAAAGAAGGCACACTTTGCTGCCTCCATTGCATCCTCATCATGTCATCTGGTAGAGCTTTTCTGAGTTGTACAGGCTGGCCCAAAGGATGTGGTAGAACCAACGGTAGCCCGCTGTGACTTGCTTGCAAAGCATTCTGAGGATAAAATTGCTTGCATCCACCAAGATCTTGACTCTGCTGTTATAGCAGATGAATCTCATGGGGTGTCCAGAGCACAGTCTAGTCCTGTTGTGTTGGATATGTTTCAGTTGGTAAGGCTTGAGGATGTGGACAAGTCAGGGCAACCACTTGCTCTCCAGACCCTTGCTCCTCTTGGCTGATAAAAACCATCAGGGAGGGGACAGCTGGCTGGGCCAGGGAAGTGGTTAATGCTTTTTTATAAGAGGGGCTGGCCCCTGCCTGCTTGAAAGAGGCAGTGGTAAAACCACTCCTTAAGAAACCTTCCTTGGATTTGAAAAATCTAACTACCAGCCAGTTGTTAATCTCCCTTTCCTGAGCAAGGTTCTGGAGCAGGTGGTTGCAGACCACATCCAGGCGCTTTTGGAAGAAACTGATTTCCTAGATCCATTTCAATCAGGGTCACCCTGTATGATGACCTCTGTTGAGAGAGAGACAGGGGAAATGTGTTCCTGGTAATTCTCCTTGACTTCTCACTGGCTTTTGATACCACCAACCATGGTATCCTTCTGGAGTGGCTGTCCGAGTTAGGGGTGGGTGGCACTGGTTTGCAGCGGTTCTGGTCCTACTTGGAGGGTATTGCTTGGGGAGTGTTTTTCAGCCCCATGGAACCTTCAATGTGGGGTTCTGCGGGGTATGATCCTATCCCCTATGCTGTTCGACATCTACATGAAACCACTGAGTGGGATTATGCAGAGGTTTTGAGTACATTGTCAGCAATATGCTGATGACACTTAGCTCTACTTCTCCATCACATCTGCAGGTGAGGCAGTGGACTGGTGTCTTGCCTTGATAATGGACTGATAAGAACCAACAAACTGAAACTCAATCCAGATAAAACTGAGGCACTGTTAGTGGGTGCTTCCCTAGACTGGATGACTGGGAGGTTGTCTGCTCTTAATGGGGTTACACTTCCTCTGAAGGAGCTGGTACATAGCTTGGGGTTGCTCCTGGATCCTTTGCTGTCACTTGAGACTCAGGTGGCCTCAGTGGCATGCAGCGCTTTCCATCAGCTTCAGCTGGTGTCCCAGCTGTGCACTTATCTCAACAGGGATAGCCTACCTATTGTCGTCTATGCTCTGGTAAACTTGAGCTTAGATTATTGCAACGTGTTATACATAGGGCTGCCTCAAGATGGGTTGAAAGCTTCAGCTAGTGCAGAATTCAGCAGCCAGGTTGAAAGAATTCAGCAGCAAGAAGAAAAGAAACTCCATCTTTCAGAGTGAATGGCTCTGGTGTAGGCAAATCCACAAGTTGCATCTGATGTCCAGCCCATGCCATCCCCCCCCCCCCCGTAGTGGGTCGGATTAGGGCAAAAACTAGGGAGAACAATATGCTCTGTTTTGTCAAAAGCCAAGTTAACTTTAGGGATAAAGCTGGAGTCAGGGCTTGAGTCTCCCAACCCCGCTACTTGAATGGATTGACTAGCAGGGCTGGCCTACACCTGAGGGAAGGTGAAGCAACTACCTCAGGTAGCAGGATCCACAGGAGCAGCAGTTCTGACCTCCACCCACTGCTGCTGCCATGGTGGCAGCAATGACTGTCATGCTCTCCTTGGAGGCCAGATCTGGTGCCTCCTCAGCACACACCCTGCAGTGCCACCTCAACAGTGGCCTTTCGATAAAAAGAAGGTGCTGTTGGTCTGCTCCCACCCCTGGGTTTTACCATCCTCTGCAGTTCCTGCTCCTGCTGGCTGAAGGTGATACTAGGAGTAGGAGGGTCCTGGGAGAGACCTCGGCTATCTCCATGCTGAAGCTCCTCAGCTTGCTGAAGAGGACAAACCTTCTCCTTGTCTAGCACCCCACTTCTCTAACTAGGGAGCGAGGCTGATCAGAGAAGCAAGCCAGTGTAAATTAAGCTGGCGAAAATGCTATTTATTTATTTATTAAATTTATATACCACCCTTCATCCCAGGATCGCGGGGCAGTTGCACCAGATCCAAATCCTGTTCTGCAGCAGGGCTTTGAAATAGAGTTTGGTGCAGTGTTGCCAGGCCACGCGTTGGACAGGCTTAGTATCAAGCCTAAGTCCCCCCCCCTGTTCCTCCCCCACTTCCTGGGGACTTACAACTGCCTTGGCTCAGCCACCTGAGCACTGGCTGAGCCAGGATGAGCAAGTCACAGTCGTGTATCTTTGGCTGAACTAGGATGGGGGATTTAATGCCAGCTAAGCTGGGAATCAGCCAGCTGAGCCAGAGATGTGCTGCATCCTAAAATGCTCATCTGCATGGATCTTGCCAGAGGATTGCCCTTGAAAAGGTTCCAGACTCATGTCTTGCAGGATGAGAAGAAACAAGCCATGCAGAACTCAAGTACTTTATGTCACGTATGTGCCACACATTGAACTTCTCGGCCAGCTGCTTCTTTGCAAGGAACAAAGTCAACTCTGCTCATTCTGAGCTGTTCCACATATCAGACCTAAGTAAGCAGGACATGGTAAGCACACAACAGTAGACCCAAGTATTAAAGCATGACAGTGTCCATCGTATTGTCGGTTAAGACACAACAATGTGGTTGAACACAAGATGGCACCAGAGGCCCTTAAAAAAGAAAACGCATTTAAATAATTTCGGTATTGTCCAAAAACACACACTTTAAAACTTGCAGCATAAGTAAAGAACAAATCAAATATCCTAAACTGGTGGTTAAAAATAACGAGGAGTTCAACCCAGCTATTACTGCCAATGATTTGATCATAACGGAGCTCCTGCATTTTAATCAGAGTAAGGCTAAACACATTAATTGAACAAGATTGTTATTAAATGCCACAGTCCTATTTGCTACTTTGCAGTCTCTTGTCTCACACATTGAAATAAAGATGTATATTTCCTGCACTTAGCAGAACTCTCACTTATAGCTGAAGAGCTTCCCTTGATTGAGGCTAAATCAAAAAGTGCTCTGTAATCCCACTTCCTGCTAACTGAAAATCTTGCTTAGCCTCTAGCGTGACGACTCATCTTTTGTCAGTTACTGCATGCCTCCATGTCTTCACATCCATGAGGACCAGAAACCTATATCTGGCTGTGTATTCTTGGAAGCACTGGCCAAAATAAAGTTTTGTGTTGCAGGGATTTTTCTTCACGTTGTGATATCATTCTATATCATCGTTCTATATCACGTTCTATATCATTACAATAGCTCCAGTACAGCAGTACTAGTGTACATAATAGGAATTGGGAAAATAAAGATATGATACGCTTCCATCAATGGACTGATGATATGTCCTCACTGGCAATTTATGAACGGACTGCTTACAGGCGCAGACTCTGTATGGATAAATATGATAACATTTGGAATGAGTTTATACAAAATGTAGTAGGCTATTAACATTTACATAGGACAATAACAGTATACCAATTTATATAGGAATGTATAGGAATATCATATATTGCTTCTTTTTCTTTTTTATATATTTTCACACACACACACACACACACACACACACACATATATGTTGTTGTTTTTCTTCCTCTCACTTTTCCTTCTTCTTTTTTCTGTATCACTTTATTTCTTTACACCAAAATCACCTTAATAAAATATAAATATTTTAAAAGCCTTATGAAGAATTCTTAAAATAAAATAAAAAAACAGGAGCACTGTAAACCCAGAATGTCAAACAAATAGGAGCTTTCCAGTTCTCCGGTGCTGGGAAAAGCTCCATGCACATGGTACAGATGCACAGGGAACTTTCTCAAACACTCAAGAAAATGGTCAGCCTTTCCCTGCCTAGGGCATCATACACATATGTGTACCACAGTAGCTAAGAAATTAAGCTACAAGTGAGAAATACAGTTCACATTTCACCTAGATATTCTGCCAAACTTCAGCAAGGCTTGGAAATAAACTTGGAGAACTCTTAAAAGCTCACCTAAAATAAAAGGCAAGCTTTTAAACCCTGACTTTTTACTCCAGCTCGAATTAAAATTGCATCAGCCCTTAGAATAATGTTTCATCCAGGACTTCCCCAGGCACCAGACACCGGAGATCAAGAAAGTGAGAAGGGAAAAAAAAACCTCCCTCAAATCCCCTTCTCACTTCCATACACCTCTTGAAAGGTATTTTGGGTGGGTGGGACTGGCTGTGAGAATTTTGGGAGAAGCAAGAAATGGGTGGGAATGCATTATTATTTTTTTATTGGATTTTATTGGATTGGCTCAAAAAAACTGTTCAAGAGCTTTTAAGCTTACTAAAATTCTGTATGTGAAGTAGTAGTAGTAGTAGTAGTAGTAGTAGTAGTAGTAAGTGCCTCAAGCACTTTATGAAATTGTTGTTGTTATTTCTCAAGAAATTTAAAGTGTTCCTATAACTAGATTTCCAGTTGGGGAGGGTCATTTAGCTAGACCATATTTAGCTTAATGGGCAATTGCAACCACATTGTAAATGCTCTCTCTTGCTGATCTCAGTGTCACTAGATTTTTAATGGAGGCCTAACTGAACAGGCTGTCAATGGTGGTTTTAATGAAAACCTTTATACTCTATTTTCCTTCTCTTTATCTTCATAGAATAAGTACTTTGGTAGGGTAAAGTGATACTGCTGCTCAGAATATCAGTTTTGCCTAATTAGTTGCAATCAGATTCTCTCTCATACCATTAATCAGGATTAACTCATGATATATTAATGCAACTAGTTATAGCCTTTGAAAAGGCTCTTTGAAAATGAATTGTATCTTTGCTTCTATTCAAGAGAGCAGCCTGAAGTAGAGAGATGGAAAGAAATATTTAATGTGCCTATTCTTAACTCAAGGAACAGAATCTGGGAGAGACAATATGCTCAGGGCAAGAATAGTCTGGGAATTCTGCCTTTTTTCATTACCGCTGTGATATGTTGTTTGCATGGTTGATGGACAAATTATGTTATTTCCCAACTGCTCAAGATAAACAAATTTATGTTGCAAATGTCTAGTATGGGAAATGAAAAGAAAATATTTCACAGCCGATCATTTCACTTCCACCCATCTAGTAATATCTCTTTCACTCAGGCATCTTCCTCTTCTTATTATTATTTGAAAAACCCACAAGAAGACAGCAACAAAATCAGCAAAAGCCACATCCGCTTAGAAACATTTCAGAGTTTAGCTTACATCTGGGCTGGCCTGCCCATGAGGCCGACTGAGGCAGCTGCCTCAGGCGGTAGAATCCAAGGGCTAGGCTCCCGTCATCCACCAAGGAAGCGAGGCAAAGCAGCAATCGTGTGAGAGCCAGAGGCCCCCTTGTGATTTCATGGGATCTCGGAGGAAACCAGTCATGCAACCCTGGGAAGCAAGCTTGGGCAGGAGAGAAAGTGGGAGCATGTGTGCCCAGGTGGTGAAGCAAGATGGGCAGTCCCTGCCTTACATCTTAAAGCATATTTAAGATTCTAGGTCAGACTGGTAGTGGGCTCATGAAATGAAACATTCAAAAGGTTTTGGTAAGCTACTAGAGAGAGAAATTTAGGTGTTAATAACTTCTGAAAGTGGGTGAAAGACTATCTGAAATGTGTATGTGATGAGCAAATAACGCTAGTGGGATTTCAAGAAGTTCTGTAAATGATAGAGGACTATTGTATTGATGAAAACTAAGTGTGTGAAGGTTTATAAAATGCAATATAAAATTAGGAAATGCGTATTTAAAAATTTGAATAATGGATGATTGTCAGAGAGGTTGAAGGAAGTCTAAAAGAGAAATTATGTGATAAATTTAGACTGGATACTATAAATGTATGTTGGAAAATTTAATAAAAAATTTTTTTAAAAAAGGGGGTGAAAGAGAAGACCAGTCGTGTGGCTTAACAGAGCTTCACATCTAAGGGGATGTGAGACATGGAAATGAGAAAAAACACAAGGCACTTGGAGTTTAATGAGAAGAATTGTGTTGGATAAATGGAGGGGCCAAAGAAAAGAAGAGAAGATATGAAAGAATATACAAGAACATGAATAGGTATGGTGAGAGTGGGATGAGAGAGCTCTGTTTAGGCTGAATCCTTAGTCTGTTCAGATTGGTCCTGTGACCTGGCAACCTGGGACTCAGCTACACAGCTGCAAATAAAACGTGTTTTAAGTGCAATATACAATGTGACACTAGATGGTGATGGTGAGCCTTATGGAAAATTCAATGTATTTTTTAAAATGCTTAAAAAACCATTTTCAGAACGTTTTTTATATGTGTGTAGATTCCACCCAGTTGCAAATCACTCTTTTAAAGGCTTGTCTTCCCTCTGCCAGGCCTAGGCAGAGCAGCAGCAGCAGCAGCAGCCTCAGTGCTGAACAAGATTTGGATCTGGTGCAATTTTATGCTGCCTTAATTGACATCAGCTTGTTTTACACCAGCTCCTTGTACATAAGATTGCTCCCTTAATTATCCTTTGAAATTTGATTGGTGTGCTAGGAATTTTATTTATATACCACTCTTCTAGCAACATTGCTGTCTATGGCCAACTGAACACTAGACAAGCAAATACTGTGTGAAATCACATTCTCTCTCCTTTTTGCTTGGAGGAAACAACATCAAAGGAAAATATTTTTAGGAAGATATGCATAACATGGTATGGCAAATTGTTGACTCAAACTGCTATGTACTTTGGCAGCCATAAATAAAAAGTCAGCTTCGTGTGGCAATGTGAGATAAAATAATTGGTTCACATAAATGCTCAGAGCCATAAAACTATTTTAATTGCTAGTTTGATTGTGGGGTATGGCTAAGCACCATTTTGGTTTCAACCTCTAACCTCAATATCAATAGGTAAGTAAACATGTGTGCTAGAGCTGATTCCTAAAAATGATTAAGGCAGCATGGATTGATTTGTACTGCTGAAATAGAATCAGCTACCTGTCCAGGGAACTATCCGTTTACTCCTAAGGATTACTGGCCAGCAGATGTAGAAACAGAGGCTCTCAACCTACAAAACTTCAGCTGGTTATCGTGGAATCATAAAATCATGAGGGTCATCTAGTTCAACCCCCTATGTATGTAATGTTTTCTTTGGGGAGGGGGTAGTTTCTACATAATAAAAAATACAACTGAGACTAGGAGCCCTTCCATTGTCTGTTATTAATCAGATGCAAAAAACCGAATGAACTATAGAAAATATATTAAAATGCAAGGGAAATAAATCAGTTGCTCTCTGTTTCTGTTGTCTGTACTATAGCAAGAAATGACATCCATTCCCCCACCTCTTCACAAAAATGAGAGCAGGGCACGATGACACCAAGCAAGGTCCCAAAGCTGCTGTTGTTGTTGTTGTTGTGCCATTTTCCGCCAGAAAACCTACTGTTTACTGCTGAATCAGAACAAATGTCAATCCACAGAAGATCTGATTGACGTTTGGTACAATTCAGCAGTAAACAGTGGGTTTTCCTGGAATAAGCAGCAGGATGGGGGGAGGGGGGAACCACCCTCTCAGATCCATGACCTGAAATCGTTTGAAATCTCAGGACAAATGAAAGTATGTCTGGGCCGTGTTTCACCTGTGAAGGCTTCAGTATTTTGACCTTTGTTGAGTCTTGTATGAAATGACTTGGATCCACATATATCAAACTGATATGCAGGAGGAAACATAGCCTCCACCAGATTTTGCATGTGTTGCCCGAAACTATGATCTGGAGAGATGCTGCCAGTGGGAGAATGGAGCCTTCCATATGTTATTGGACTATGGCTTCCATCATCCTCTGCCACTGTCCACACTGGCTGCTTCCAACATCATCTTGAGGGCCACAGCTTCCCCTTCACTAGATCAATGGTCAGCGTAAGGATGCTTCCCACATTCCTATATTCTCCTTTTCTCTCCTTCCAGTTCACTGCTGCAGCGCTAAGACTGGTAGTCTGAAAATCTATTTTGCACATGTGTCCTTTTCTGCTGTGAAAACCAGCTTGGTTTTCATACCCCTGTGTGTTTGTAACAGTTTAGGAGTAGAAGAGCAACTCAAATCCTAACCTTTACAACCTCAGGAAAAAGAAAAGCAAGCAATCCCTCTATCTGTTGATTAATTTAAAGTACTAGCCCTCTTTGGCGAAACACATCTCCTCAATTAGGACATGTTCTTTTCAAAGAAATCTATACTTCTTGCATAACACTACTTCAAAGAACAGAAGTTTTGCCCCACCCCCACCCCCGGTGTGGCATCCTTTAAATACAATTATGAGCAGTTAACATGAGTAGTCTTGCTTGCTGTAACATTCTGAATTCTCTTGTGAATAATTGGCAATGCCAGAGAGGGATTCACATTACAGTCCAGTACAAGGTTTCTTTCCACTTTCTTTTGAAGAAAAAATAGCCTCTGGGAAATTCAGAGGTTTGCCACTCCTTCTTTGCAATTGCTTCAGGGGAAAGGAGGGTGCAAGGGTTGCCAGTTAAACTATGGATTTTATGGAATACCCCTCAGTCAGAGGAACATGGTGTGCTACATTTAAAAGGATATTTGACAATGTGGTGTTTTGAAGGAAAAAAGATTTATGATCCTTCTCGTCTCCCAGCCACTGGCTGTTGCTGGTTTGGCAGGCTGCTCACAAAATATAAGTAATTAAAAATACTTTATATCAAAATGGTTTCAATCCAAAGGGCAATGAAATGGAGTGTAGCCCCGGTGCAAATCTAAAATGTTCATGTGGAGGGGGGGGGTAGGGAGGAGCCTTTGGCCAGCTGTACTCACAGAGGTCCTCATTTTCAGGCTTTCAGTTCTGCTGGCAAAGGGCAGGCAGGCTGGTTGCAGCAACCTTTGAGACGGGGCAAGACATGGTGGTCCTCCTCCATGAATTCATGAAGGTGTGGAGGAGCCTGCGGTGACTGGCAGGTGAGGCTGCCAGCTTCTCTAGTAACTGCACAACAAGACAATATTAGGTAAGATCTGGGCAGAACACTTCTACTTAAGGGATCAACTGATCAAGCAACAGACTGCTTCCTCCTGTATAAAGCTTGATTTAAATGTGATTCCATGCTTCAAAAAAAGCCCTGTCCAACTGACCAGAATCACCTTTAAACAGAGCCCTCAGCCATCGCAGGGCCCTTTCCCAGAGGGCTCTGTTAACTCTGTTAACAGAGTTAGGAGAAGATATGTTTTTACTCTTTTGTAAATGCATATATATCAATACAAAACCTAAGTACATCCTTTCTATTTTATTCCCCCCTATCCATAACTGCCTCTCTAGATGGTAAATAAATAATGTTGCTGATGTTTTTGAGCTGCAGCAATCATAAACAGGTTTATGTGCACTTAACCTTACTTTTTGCTTTAACAACATACCCTATTTTTATTTATATCCCTGTTTTTCGTCCAAGCAGCTTAAGGTGAGGTATATACTTTTTCTCCTCCCCATTTTGTCACCTCAACAACCCTGAGAGGTCACCCAGGAGCTTCATGGCTGAGTGGAGATTTGAACCCTGGACTCCCAGGTCCTAGTCCAATACTCTAACCGCTAAACTACATGGCCCTACTTCAGATACTAGAAATCCTTCAACAATTTTCAATTGCCATTGAGATGTGTTACAAATTTGTGGCTGTTTTTATCTGCAAAATATTGGAAGATATATATTCTGTTCCATTTAATTTGCCCTCTGCAACTTCAAACTTGACTGTTAGATCAAGAAGAGAAAGACAGGGCAATTGTAAAGCCTACTCTGAGCACCTGATATTTAAAGGCAATTGATAAAAGAAAACCAGTGCTATAAGATAGTAGTTGCAACACATCTACTCATTTATTTGTGCTTATTTATATATTTTTCACCTTAACTTTACAGTGTTAGTAGCTTTCATTCCCCTATATATATATTGAATAGACAAATCTGAATTCAAATATTTATGTAGTTACTTATTAGATCCCTCTTTCCTCCAATCAGTACAAGATGTCATAAAGGGTTTTTCCTCTATTTTATCCTTACAACAACCCTGTGAGGTAGGTTAGGCTGAGAAACAGTGAGTGGCTCAAGGTCACCTAGTGAGTTTGATGGCAGAGGGGGAATGTAACCCTGGGCATCCCCAATCCTAGTCCAACATTTTAACCACTCCAACACCTTCTCACTGGAACTGCAATTGTTCCCCTCACACCTATGTTCATTCACCATAAATTGATCATCTGAAAAGGCCTACTGTGAGGCTATATAGTGTGCATCATTGTGCTGATATGTGCTCCTCAGTAGAAGGACTGGATGGGTAGGTTTAATTTCACTTCCATATTTTTCACTTTTATCTCTATTCCATCCTGTTTATGCAGATTTTTTTTAAGCCACACAAAATTCTCCTCTCATGAGGTGGTGTGCTGGCTGCCTGCAGGCACATTGTAAAGAGAGAGAAAAAAGAGAACTTTTCTCAGTGCCTTTTCTGCTTTTAAAAAAAGCTTCTGGTATTTGAGTATTAATAAAGGTGCCATGGGTAGCAGCACAAAATGGCTGTCGTGGACAGCAATAGAAAGGGCGCTGGCACTCTGTGCTGTGAGTACTGTCTTACCTTCTGGTCACGACCCAGAGGGCACTCGTGGTCCCACCTTTTGGTGGGCAACAACTGTGCTTGTTTATTGCACAAAGCAACTTCTAGATTTAAAAAGAAGGAAAGATTAAAAATGAAAGATTAAAACTGTACAATTTGTCCTGGTGCAATTGCTCAGATGACATGTTTTCCGATTGGCAGTGTAGCCCAGGAGGCGCAGCTCAGGTGAGCTTGTTCAGCAATTTGAACCCAGTGAATTCCTCGCACATTCAACAGCAGCTTTGTCTAATTAGAAAAAAGAACCTGCTCCCACCAGGGTGTCATAAGTTATATGCAGTATCAATCATATTTGCTCAGCAAGGTTTAAGAATAAACATGCAGCTGAGAAAGCATTTGGCAGAACAAAATTTGCATCCATCAATCTTCTCATGGTTTGTAAGCCTTAGATTTTTATACTATGGATTAAACTGTGGGGCTAGAGAGAGACTGTTTGATTCATAATAGTGATTCTTTTCAAAGTCAAACATTTCAACAAATAGAGGAGGCAGGATCCAGGTTGCCATCTTTGAATTATTTGTGCTGGTGGTTTTGCTACTCTTGCTAATAGGATTTCAGCCTTCATTTCAATCTTATTCTAAAAAAGATAAGTCCATGCCACAGCTTCATTAAAAAAAACAAGTTTGCTGATTAATCATGTATTTTTTCATAATTTTTCCTCTTCTAGATCTTAGGCTTGTACGCAAAGCTACATGATTTGGATGAAAAGAACCCCCTTAACATTTTAACCAAGCTTATGAGCAGCCTTGATTTTAGAAGGAAGCAAATTACTCTAAATAAATATGTTTGCTTTCAAATCTTTGTTCAAGCAATCTCATGCATGTGAATTCCTGCTTTCTGCTTGATGAAATTAATCAGACCTAATCAGTATTAATCACATTTACTGGGCTTATGTTTTAGGAAAACAGCTGTTAACACATTTGGCAAGAACAAAAATATACCACATATTTGTCTGTGTACTTGTGGATATGCAGTTATTCAGAGATATATATTTCCACATACCACTGCTATGTTTGGAGTAACAGTCATATATATTAGGAAAGTTCTAATCAATGTGGAAAAACAGATATAAAAATAGTGGGCATACACCCCTCATAAGATCTTCTGGATACTGGTATGCAAAAGAAAGAAAGAAAGAAAGAAAGAAAGAAAGAAAGAAAGAAAGAAAGAAAGAAAATATATAACAATTTTTTATTGAAAATATTTCATTTCCCAATGCTGTTAGACTATATTGATGAGGAAAATGCTACATGTAATTAAATATATACAGCTATCTAAAAATCAAATTAATGATATCTGTTGATCTACAGGGAGCCCCCCATTTATGCGGGGGTTATGTTCCAAGGCTTGTGTGTGTCAGTGAAATCACATACTGTATAATTAAAACCCATTGAAATAGCCTGCAAACACCCCAATCCACTCCACCCTCATTCTGCCCCCCACCCCCTTTTAGTTCAGTGACGTCTTTATGACGTTCTTGTTCACATCTGGGTTTGGTGTGATGCGCATATACACGGTTGTGCACATATTGAACGCACATGGGGGGCTGCCTGTATTGACAGCTTAGCACCAGAAAGATCAGAAACATTTCAATTCAGAAGACTAATAAGTTCAGATGCACAAATGTTGGGATACTTTTGATAGACAAGCTGTCACAACATGTCAATTATAGGAGACAAAAATATAAAAACACAAACATACATAGCCTAGTAACAAACAAAAACAGCACACATGGACACATGGACACAATTTAAAAGGCCATAGATTGTTTAATTAGCCAAAGGCCTGAGAGAAGAGGAATATTTTTGCATGGCACCTAAAGATGTATAATAAAGGCTTCAGACAAACCTCCCCAGGGAGAGCATTCTTTAATTGTGGAGCCACTGCAGAAAAGGCCCTTTCTCATGTTGCCATCCTCTGCAGGAAGCACATGAAGAGTAGCCTCATGATAATAGCCAAATTTGGATCAGTTCAGATGGGGAGCAGCAGTCCTCAAGGTTATAATTATGAAATGTTATCATTGCGTAACACCTCGCATAGCTCAGTTGGTAGAACATGAGACTTCTAATCTCTGGGTTGTGGGTTCGAACCCCACATTGGGCAAAAGGATTGCAGGGGGTTGGACTAGATGACCCTCATGGTCCCTTCCAAATCTACAATTCTATGATTTCCCCTTTACTAATTTATGTATGTAAAAAAGGGGGGGACCACACTGTACACATGTTCTTCAGCAAGCATCTAGGAGGTTCTGAAGGCTGGCAGGTCAGTAGTTTCACCAATCTTGCAGAGGCTACTTTTCACTAATTCCAGTTTTGCTTTCTAGGACCCATCATCCCTGCCTTTAACAAATCGAGATCTGTTCCGCACAAAGCTTCCCATGCAGTCCAGGGTCTCACAGCTATTGCCCAGTTGCTCACTTTTTAATGGTTCTGTAATCAGTTATCAAAGACAGGAGTGTCTGGCGTGCTCTGGTCCATGGGGTCACGAAGAGTCGGACACGACTAAACGACGAAACAACAACAATCAGTTATCATTATAGTAGCACCCCAATGACTGGTCCAGGGGTGTCAACTTGGAAAAAAATATGGGGGGGGTAAGTAAGCCCTGCCCTGCATAATCAATCACATGATGCAACGCATGGACACCATTTGAATGGCAATACCCACCATCAATGGGGGGGGGGGGGGACTGAATACCCCTTGGCCTCTAGGAGTTGGCTCCTGCGGACTAGCCTAAATTCCTATAGCATTCTAGGCAAAACTGTATACTTGTAACTCATAAAGCTCCAAGCTGCTTAAGAACTGAGTACCTTAGAATTACCCCTCTTTCCTTCCATAATCTCCACAGTCTGCAGAAAACAACATATTTGATCACTCCACCGATGGAGCAGGGGTGGGATAGAGAGATAGATAGATGAGAGAGAGAGATGCCAATTTCACTGGCTCCTGCCCCAATTTCTGTATGCCTGGCAGCAACTTGAGCTCTAGATGTTAGCTAATGTCTATCTCATGAAAAGAGTCCCCTGCTAATTTCTTTTTCAAACCTCACTTAATTAGGTCCGCTATAGAAGCTATGGTGTGGAAGGGGTTTTTAATACTAGCAGGAAAAAACAGGGGTTTCTTAATGTCCTCCTTTTCTTTAAAGTTAGCATTTATAAGTCCCATAAATTCATATCTGGGCCTTATCCTAGCAAACATTTCCAGCATTTGCTGGAATAATAAATTGACTTAAAGCAATAATCCTAAATGTTACCTGCAATAGCAGTTACTGCTCACCACCTGCCAGATTTGGCCTCCACTGCTTCCCTTTGTGTCCAAAACATAAGAAACCAGAAGACAAAAGAGCATCAAGTCATCTACCAGAAAAAACCCTCTAGGAGGGTCCATTACAAGGCATCAAAATAAAGCCATAAAAATTCAAAAATTCCATCTGAAATACACTAACACAACAACTGTACCAGTGGCTTCAAAATATCACTCCTGGAACATATAGGTAAATGAATAGCAGAGAATTATTCCAATACGTCTTCCCAAATGTTTCAAAAGGAATTCTGAATATCCACCCTCATAAGTTGCATAAGGGTGTGATGAGAGAGAAAAGTTTCAATTTCTTGCTGTACTAGTTACATCTCTCTGCAGCCATAAGTGATCAAAACAAATGTTAATGCTGTGATGCCCAGTATTCTATTAAAGACTTTGCACTTCCACTGCCCAAAATGCTTTTCCCCCTCCCTGGGACGGGGAAGAGGTGCATTCCACAGTATGAGATCCTGTGATCTATTATACCATTAAAATGTTCTTATTTCTCTCCAGAGTGTTAGAAAAACATTTGCTGATCAATAGACTAATAACAGCTTATAAGCAGAAACCACACTCTTAATGTTTGCAAGTAGAAGAAATAAAAAGAACACTGATAGCTTGTATTAAACTGGCCACAACTTTATTGAAGGAATAGGCCAATAACATGGCAGCTATGAAGAACATTGTGGAGTGGAATGGTTATAACCCTTTCTGTGAAGCTGCCTAGGAAGACTGTGTAGGAAAGGTCCTAGAACATATAATTCAACAGTTGGTCTATGAGCACTTAAGAAAAGGATGCTGTGATTGCTAAGACCCAGCATGGGCTTCTCAAAAATAAGTCATTCCAAACCAATCACATTGCTTTTTTTTGATGGAGTTGCAAACTTGGTGGATCAAGGGAATGCTGTGGGCATAGTGTATCTCGATTTTAGTAAGGCGTTTGAGAAAGTGATATTCTTGCGAGGAAGCTAGTAAAATGTAGGTTGAACAAGGTAACGGTTAGGTGGATTTGTAGCAGGTTGACTGACTGAACCCAAAGAGTACTCATCAATGGTTCCTCGTCATCCTGGGGGAAAGTGACAAGTGGGGTGCCGCAGGGTTCCATCCTGGGCCTGTTGTTGTTCAATGTCTTTATAAACAACTTTATAAATAGCTTATCAAATTTGCAGATGACACCAAACTGGGAGGGGTAGCTAATGCCACAGAGGGCAGAATCAGGATTCAAAATGATTTTAACAGATTGAAGAACTGGGCCATGTGCCTTTTGGAATGTTGCCAAGTAAGGATCCAAATTGAGATTTCAAAAGTTTATAGTTAAATGAATGGCTTGGCTTGGATATAATGTGGAAGTGATTATATATCCCACCTTCTCTGTATTAGTTGCCTCTCCCAAGAGGAAATGAAGAGCTAGTAAGACCCTTGTAAAAAAACTTGAGGGTGACAGAAATTCATGGCCAGCCTTTGCACAATAAGCTTAAAGCCTTGCACCACAATTCCCAAATAACATTGTGGCTTGTTTCTTCCCTTTGTTATAGGTTTTGTCACATTAGTCTGTAAAGGTGGGGAACTTTTATTATGTCCAGCCAATTCTTAGCAAACTGCTTTTATTTGCGAATTAATATTGGCTTCCTAAGTTAGACCCCCCCAAAAAAAAAAACATCGCAGCTGAAAAATCACAAGTTAGCATCATTAGACATCATTGCACATACACTCTTTCAAATCACATTCTTTGGTGTGATTGCAGCAGTACTATGTTAACAGGAATACTCACTGTCATGTCAAAAACTACAATGCTCATGCCAGCTTATGTTAGGGTCAAAGGGCCCTGTCACTTGCAGGTCTCTGGGAAGATCACCCTAAGAGACAGCATTCTGCCATTTTAAGCTAAAAGGGACCACCTTGTTTACTCTGCATTGTATACCTTGTTACCTTCCTGTTGGAGAAAGTTGCATAATTCAAATCCCAATCCCCTACCCTTGGCTAATATTTCATTCCATTCTTATTTCTAGCTCCCAGCTTTGCATTAAAAAAACAACAACTTTTGGGTTCACTGTATTAATCTGCAAAGAAGGGAGGGATGTGAAATTGGAAGGGAATCTGTATTTTTGTGACACAAAAGTCAGATGTTTGGTAACCATGGGTATGGAACATGTGAAACAGTTCTCTTCACTCCCAGATGCCAATATGCGCTGGTCTGGTGATTGAGTAGCATCATTCTGAAAGTCTAAGTAGTACACAGGTAGGGCTCCCTCTATGTCAGTGATGGCCAAACTTGGCCCTCCAGCTGTTTTGGGACTACAACTCCCATCATCCCAAGCTAACAGGACCAGTGGTCAGGGATGATGGGAACTGTAGTCCCAAAACAGCTGGAGGGCCAAGTTTGGTCATCTATGTGCTCTATGTGGACAAGAATCCTGATTGACCTGGGCTACCATCCCCTATGTATATAAGTAACTTTCAGACTCATGCTGAAAAAATCTAACACTATTCTAAGTTGCATCAACAGACGTATAGTATCCAGATCAAGGGAACTAATAGTACCTCTCTGTACTACCTTGGTTAAACCACACCTGGAATACTGTGGGCACCACAATTTAAGAAGGATGTTGACAAGCTGGAAGGTGTGCTGAGGAAGGCAACCAAGATGATCGAGGGTCTGGAAACCCAGCCTTATGCAGGATGGTTGAGTGAGCAGGCTATTCTTTAGGCTGGAGAAAAGGAGCCTGAGAGAAGATATGATAGCCATCTCCAAATATCTGAAGGGCTGTCACATGGAAGATGGAGCAAGCTTGTTTTCACCTGCTCTGAAGGGTATGACACAAACCAATGGCTTCAAGTTACAAGAAAGGAGATTCTGACTCAACATCAGGAAGAACTTTTGGACAGTAAGAGCTTTTTGAAAGTAGAACATACTCCCTTGGGAGGTGGTGAATTCTCCTTTATTGGAGGTTTTTAAGCAGAGGTTGGATGGCCATCTCTCATGGATGCCTTAGCTGAGATTCCTGCATTGCAGAGGGTTGAGTTCCTTCCAACTCTATGATTCTATGATTTGCAAGTCTGCCAAGGGGTATGGCTGGTAAGTCCTTCCATGTCTACTGGGCAGAACTAGCCCAAGCATTAAAAAAAAGAGGGCCCTGCAGCCATGAAGTGTTTTGTACTGCTGAGAGGTGATTGCAGTCATCAGTGCAGGCTAGCAACTAGGAACAGTGACTGCAGCAACTATATTTAAGGCTCTGAAGGCAGGTTTTAAAGGCACTGTGAAATGAGATTAATTACTTGTTGATAATTCATATATCTGCTTGATTTGTTAGCTAGTAGCAAAATTTTATTTTTATGATTAATAAATAAGAGCTTTAGATACACCAGTGTTTAGTCTTCCAAATTCTGAGCTCTGACCACCTGAAATAAAAATAATTATCCATATTTGTGAAAGTGCCCAGGAGTGCAAACTTGGAAAACCCACTCAAGGAGGTGAGAAACACAATTCACCTACAACTTTTTTTTTTAAACTATGAATCTATCTTATACTGAGTCAGGCCATTGGTCTATCAAGCTCAGTGTTGTCTTCTCCATTTGAAACTGGCCAGAGTCTGAAGCAAAGGTCTAATAAAGCGCTGCTACCCAATATCCTTTAACTGGAGATACTAGGAAATAATTAACCTTGAGATTGCTTGCATGCTTTACTGCTGAGTTATGTCCCCTTTACAGAGAACAGGGCAAGATGTAAACATGACAGGTATCTGTGAAGTGTCAGAATATTTAAAATCAGCAGTCACTGTGTCCCAAGAATAACTCTGGTGATGCTGTCACGTCACTTCAATTACTGCGTCAAACTGATAATCTGAATTCATTGAGCAGTAAAAGGACTTTTATAGAGGAGAAAACACAAACCATCACCACCACCAGTTTGAAGAGGCACTTAAGTATTATACATTAATGCCTATGATGTATAATACTATTGCTTTGTCTTTGGCCACCTCTCAGACATTAGAGATTTCATGGCGTATCGGCCACTTAGGCCAAACACTGAAGAAATGCATTAGAAACCTAGGCATAATATTACACTTCACTGATTCCATGATGTTTCAGCATTTGGCAGTGCAAAAAGATGTATTTATCTTCTGCTGGTGGGCAGCTGGTGACCTCATATTTTGATTTCAGTATAGCTTACTTTGATTCCTCAGTCCAGCTCAAAGCTTCATTGGGCACACTACAACTATTAGGATAGATGCCCTGGGCACACTCTGTCTAATAGCTGTAGATATTCTCTATTCATTTAGGCCTTTATAATCCCATGCAGAACTTTTGCCAACAGCAAATGGGCATCTTAACCCAAAAACGAAAGCATTGGGATACAGCTTGACTAGATACTGCATGTTCTCATAACAATTCAGGACAAGTAAACAGGCCCCTCATCAGACAGAAAGTTGACAGGTGTCTGTGAAGTGTCAAAGTATTCAGAATCAACTGTTACTATTTCCCAAGAATAACTTTGGTGATGGTGTCATGTCACATCAATTATTGCATAGAGGCCTTCCTTTTATAAATCAGATATGATTTCCCATGTGCCCATTAGCTGATTGCCAGCTCATATCAACAGTGTCAGAGTAGTACACTATGCCAAGTTGTAGAAACATCTCTGACTACAGCATACACAGTATAAGATTTAATTGTTTTTTTTAAAAAAGAACAGCCAGTTAAAGATCCACAAATCTCAGAAATGGGAAGCTAGCACCGATACCTTAAGTGATTGCGATCAGCAAGAAATTGTGCACTGTCACAAATGGTGCAATGCTTGCAACCAACCTTCCCTTGCACACACACGTTTAATTGGTCTTTCAAGCCTAAATCTAGATGGGGAGGATGTACTGCCAAGGACCAGTAAAGGGCCCCCTTCCTCCTGTATTGTTTTACAGAGCAGCTGAGCCTTTGGCCACTTCCATTAATCCATTTATATTTCAGCACATTTGCAGACCAGTGCCTCTTCCCTTCCAAACGGCAGGGACACACAAAATATCAGGTTAGACAATTAAGCTCATTTATCTTAGCCCACACATCTTTTTTATTGCAAGTGATGCAAGAGAGTGCAAGTTGAAGCAGAGAAGTGGGGCACCGGAAGAGTGTACTTATCAGTTGTTCCTTCTTTTCAGCTTGCCACATTGTCCTTCCCAGCCTGTTTTATCCGCACCAAGCAGCTCAGGTTCCAAAGCAAGTCCAGGTGTCCTGATGGGTTTCTGCTGGTGGAAATGTCAACATAATACTGATGAAACCGATTCTGGTAAAGCCAGAAACATATAAAACATAAAGTATAAGCATAAATATTTAGGATTATAAGGGAGGAAGTTTTCATTGTTCATAAGCTGTGTTTCAATGAACATCCTGTTTCAAGTGATTACATGTTTTTTGTGAACATTTACATATTTAGTTACATTTTTTTGTGTGGGCTGGCTAAACCCTCTTGATTAACCCATAAACTGCACTGATACCTTTTACGTCACATCATCAGTTGCTGTTCTTAAAGAGATTAACAATTATTATTTTTACATGCTGTATTTGCTGGTCTTTAGTTAGTCCCATTTTTTTGTCATGGCCTTTCTTTTTTATTTAATTGTTTTAAACATGTTAAACTGTCACACGAGTGCATTTGTTACTGAGTTTCTACAGCTATGTCAAGTTGAATACTTATGATTTCCCCCAATAAGACAATTCAACTTTAAAAGTATTGGTCCTTAAGAAACTCTTTAAAGTGCATCTTTTCATGGGCTCTCCTTTTTCTTCATCCCTCAGTGACTTCAACATGTATCTCAGGGGCAACCTAAAGCTCTCCAAACGTCGTTGGGCTCCAGAGGTGAAATGCTGTGACTGAAAATGTTCACAAACAATCTTTTTTAAAGTACTTGGGATGCTTTCAGGAGGGCAATTCTCTGACAGTGCCATATATGTACAGAAAACATTTGGTTAAGAACACTTTATGCCGTTTGGTTTAAAACAGCTCAAATCCGAAAATGTCCTGCATGTAACCAAAATGTATTGACACTTGATTTGCACTATTACAAAAATGGATGTCCATACATTTCTTTAAAGGTAATTCTACATATATCCTAATTTAGAATTAATAATTTTATTTATACCCCACCTATCTTGCTGGGTTTCCCCAGCCACTCTGGCTGGCTTACAGTATATCTAAAAACACCCAACTGTTAAAAACCTCCCTATACAGGGCTAGTAGTGTGTCACTAGAGATGTAAAAAGCAGAAAGGTAATTTGGGGCCTAATAATATTTGTCAGGGTCATATTAATCATACCTTTCCTTTTTATTTTACACTCACTGAAATTAAAAAGCTAGAAAAACTGTCATTTTGTTCTCCTAATCAGTTCTAAATTTCTATTCTGGCCACCCTGACTGGTGAAAGCATTCTTAGGTTTCAGACAATGGTATTTCTTAGCCCCACCTGTAGACACTCAGGATAGCACCAGGAAGTTTCTGTTTGAGCTATGCTCTTTCTTTCCCTCACCTCAGATTTTTTAGCACAAAGCGTGTTCTCCTTCATGGAGAGCACGTGTTGCGGTGGGGTCTAGCAAGACATCCCACTGTTGCTGGGCGGGTAAAGGTAGTTGGCCACCATTGCGATTGGGCCCCTCTTCTCATTGGGGAGAATTTGATGTTGCCATTTTGTGATTGACAGCTAAGAAGTCTTATATTCTCTGCACACAGTGTTGAGCTTCCTCTTTTCGCTGTGCACATCGGATCATCCGCCCACCCTCCCTATATTTAGGGTTGTTCACATGACCTTGCTATGCCTGTCATGGGGTCGTCTGATCTTGGGGCAGGGGCCCGGTAGGAATTTTGTCCATTTGGCTGGTTGGCTGGTGCCATTTGGCTTTTGCCTACTGCGTAGCAAATCTTCACAACTTGTAAGGTTGCAGTTAGGCATTGGTTAAAATTGGTTGGTGGAGCGGCATGGATTGACTGTGCCTGCCCCTCCAAAATACTGCTGCTGCTGCAAGGGCTTTCCGTTAAAGGAACCCAGGGGCTCCCCATGCTTTTGTCCGAACCCCTGTCAAGGGGCTAGAGCCACGCAAGAGCCCCTGGGAGCATTTGGGGAGAGGTGAGGGCATGGTACCCAGCTCCATCTTTCTCCCCAAAATGTTTTCCCTTTCTGACTTTTGCAGGTGTGCAAATGTCAGTCTGTCCCCGTGCGGGGTCAGATAGTTGCAACCAATGCCTAAGCAACCACTCACATTTCTTGTATTTTAATAAAGTTGTGGCCAAAATTATGCCAAAAACCTTAACAAAAATTCTGTGTGAATTGTGGTTTATTGGGGTGGCTTGGGGACCTTGATACGCAACTCAAATAAATAAAGAATGGCAGTTGACTCTGTTCCTTCTAATTGTCTAATCCAGTGTTTCCCAACCTTTTTCCAACCGTGGCCCCCTTCTGACCTTGTTTCCTTCATGTGGTCGTCCCCCCCGGCATAGCCAGTGGGGCAGAGGGGCAGCTGACCCCACAATAAGTAAAAATCAATACAAATCAGAGGTTCTCCCCCCCCCCCAACAAAAGCCTGTCCCCCTAACAAAGATCCTGGCTATGCCCATGCCCCCCCATCCTACTGGTAGAAAAGTAGCTATTTAAATGTTTTGTTTGTAAATAGAGCATGTTTTATTTATAATTTATACAAAATGCAATTACATAAAATGATAGGAACATAATGAAATATTGTTGAAGCAGAAAAACATAGAATCATGCAATTATAGAGCTGGAAGACGCTGAAGGTCATCTTTCAGGTGCAACCCCCTGCAACGCAGGAAACTCACCTAAAGCATCCAGGACAGACGACCATCCAAGCTCTGCTTAGAAACCTCCGAGGAAGGAGAGTCCAGAACCTCCCGAGGGAGATCCATCTTCCATGCATTATAAAAAGTAAACAACACTTATTTGACCCCAGTTATTTGACATGGGGGAGGAAACCTACAGAAACAGTGCCCCCTCCCCATTTATGCATTTTTACCTGTGGCCCTCTTGGAATATACTGGGGGCCCCAGGGGGCCACATGGCCCCCAGCTGGAAAACCCTGGTCTAATCAATTATAATTTTCTTATCTGTTTACATTATAATTCACATATATTTGCAGATAACTCTTTGAACAATTGAAACAGGTACCGTAAATTACAAGTGACGAAAAGCAGGATCTAGCATTATTAGAAGAAATCAAAGCTTTCTATTTCCTATAATATTCCCTATAGGATTCAAATTTTATTTGTTTTCCTGCCTGGGTTGTTCTACTTATTCTGCTCTGCTGTTTTCATGGAACCTGGAGTAGCATACTACTACTACTACTACTACTACTACTACTAATTAAATTTATGTACTGCCCTTCATCCAAAGATCAAAGAGCAGACAACCATCCAAGCCCTGAACAGATCCAGACCTACTTTGCTTTCACATGGCGGTGGCCTCTTGTACCTGAAGATTATGCACCCCAAATAAATTTGTCCCCATACATTTACCCTTGCGAAATATAAAATTGCTCTTACTGAAACCCTATCCTGCAATCCTACTCTCAACTGAACTTACTGTGACTTACCAGCGTAACTTCCACACCATAAGTTTAAAGCACATGGCTTCCCCTTTTCTGGGAACTAATTTTTATGGATGCTAGAAATTATAGCTTTGTGGTGGGTAAACAATAATTCCCAGGAAGCCATGACTATTAAAGTGGTATACATAAATGTGTTTTAAATGTATGGTGTGGATGTGACCTAAAAACCTATTTAGAAGCATGATTTTCATTGATTTATCTATCAGTTAAACCAACCACAGCTTGCACATTTAGAGAGGTTGGGACTTTTCTGCACCAATTACCTTGTCATTTGTGGATTCTACTTCTGGATAATCAGAAACCATCCATTAGCTTGCAATAGTGTCTGCTTTGAAGGATTGCATGTGGCAAAACTGCTTTTGTGGGTCAAACATGCACACTCCATAGGGGCACTTGGGGCAAGAGGGTTCACTGTGGATGGGGTGAGCTTTTGCCTTTTCGACCGTATTATTCTTTTCCTGGTGGGAAAGGATGGGTTAAATTAAAAGCAATAAATAATGTTCCTTGTTTTTTGTAGCAGGTGGTGGGTCGCTTGTAAACCAGTCCCATCACTCCCTGCAAAGGGGGGGTGGGGAGAGGATTATTGTGACCTGCTGGGATCCTCCAGTCTTGGCTGGACCCCATGGTAAAAGATCTTTGGGGGGGGTGGCAGCCAGTGGAGGGCTCAGGGGGAGAGCTGAATCGTTGTGGAGGCAGCTGCTTGGGTTGAACTGTGCCCACAATTCTCATAATTTAAGACAGGATTGCCTGCAAAGAAATGTTTCCTTGTGAGAAACAGAGAAGCAGCAAGCAGCAATTTAATGATTTTGATTTTACAATTAACTGTTGAACTGATAATTATGCATGAAAAGCATGGAGGAGCTGGGAAACACCATGCATCGCATGAAGCTGCCATTTGCAGAATCAGACTGTTGCGTGTGAAGACCCCCAGACCCTCTCCAAAATAAATCACACAGGACACAGAATATTTGTTTAAGATTTTTGGCGTTAATTTGGCCACAACTTTATTGATTACAGCAGGTGAATGGTTGCTTAGGCATTGGTTCGGACTACCTGAACCTGCACCAGCAGGAACAGGACTGACAACTGGAACCTCCAGAGGTCAGTAAGGGAAAGCATACTGGGGGACCACAGAGGCGGATTTCCACCTCTTAGTTCACCCCAGATGCTCCCAGGAACTCTCCCAGGAACCCCTGAGAGGGGATCGGACAGAGCAAATCAAGCCCCTGGATTCCTTTAACAGAATTCCCTAGTAGCAACAACAAAAAATGAGGGGCTGGCACAGCCAATCCATAATCCCCTGAACCAAAGAATGAACCAATGCCTAACTGCCAACCTTACAAAGTTGTGACAATTTGCTACACGGTAGGCAAAAACCAAATGGCACCAGCCAATCAGCCAAGTGGCAAAATTCATACCGGACCCCTGCTCCAAAAACAGACGACCCCTAGCCAGGCATAGCAAGGTCAAAAACACAACCTTAAATTAGAGGGAGGGAGGGAGATCCGCTGCATGGTGCGAAAGAGAAAGTACTTCACCTCGTGCAGCCCCTAAATAGCCCCTTAGTTGTTAATCAAACCCCAACCGACAGAAATTTTTCCCCAGTAACAAAGAGGCAACCAATGAGGTGCGGAGGTCGTCCAGACGGGCCCACCCCAGCAACAAGAAGGCAGTTTGGTGATCTCACCGCAACACGTGGCTCTCCATGATTTGGAGGACATGATTTAGCCTCCCAATCATACTAGGACTTTGTATGCACAGACTGCTTCTCTGCAGCCCCGTACTGAGGAGAGCGGGGCGAGGGGGGTGAGGTTATGTACTGAGTAGCTAGTAACAACCAACCATCCAGGCCATTACTGCTCATTTAAGAAAGTATTTTTAGCCATCTACAGTGATTGGGAAAATGTCAGCAAAACAGAAGCCTTACTTGATAGCCTTAATTTCATTATTCAATTAAAAACAAATTATTTTAATGGTGTTTTTAATAGACTTAACATTATCTTCACATTCTGCTAAACTTTGAACTAGGCGTTATGTGAGCAAACATTTGGCAAATGTGCAAAATTAAGTTCTGTGTTTTTTAGAAACTGTCGTTCTCCTCCACCTCCATCCGTTTCTCAGAATTTAGTCATGAGGTGTATATACAAATGTACTTACATTTATAGAGTACCTATATTTATGCTATATGTAATCACATAAAACCATAATGCTGTTGGCTCCTGGGGTTATTTAAGTGGTTTTTGTTTTTTATGTTAAGATTGCTGGTTGGAATGAATAGATAATGTGATCATAAAAGTAATTTTAGACAGCCAAGGAATGCGTTCAAGATGACAAATACCTCTTAAATAATCCCCTTGGAGTCTTTAGCTAAAAACATGATACAGCTTTCTTTTGTCATTAATTGAGCACATAAGGAAGTGTTTTAAACGTGATTCCCACTAGGAGTTCAGTTAATCTCTGCTAAAGAACTGGATTTAAAGCATGCATTCTTAAGCAGCTTACAACTTCAGTGAATGCAACTATGCCACTATGGTATTAGTTCTGCAAAATATATGCTCATTTATAATGGGACTGCTTGTTTTATGAAACGTTGGATCACAGTTTATTGTTAAAATCAGCACTGAAAAGAAAAGAAAATATGTGGTCAAAATGTATGCTATCACGTAACCCAAGCTGATTGGACAACAAGCAAAAAATTATTTTGAAACATTTTCCAAGTATTGAAATTGTAATACACCACTATCACTGTGCAAATAAATGCTTTCAAGTCTGAAAGGAGTAAAAGATTTAGACCTAAGGATGGTCAAAATACGTTTTATAACAGTTCAGATCACCCAGGGTGAAGAATTCACCTGCCCACCATGGACAGAGATGGCTTTACAAGTGCTCTGGAAGGGAGATAAGGCAAGTTAGATGTAATGGGCAAATGTGTCTCATACCATACATAAATGTAGATAGAATCATGTTACGCAACTGTGGGCACAATGCACTTCCGTATGGAATGAGCAGCTTAGGATCCAGCAGATCTCCAGCTGAGGCAGGAGGTTCCTGGTGCTGCTGGGCTACCACAGCTTAGCTCTCTGATCCTCAGATCTCTCTGGCGCATCTCCCCTATCCAACTCAGATGAGCCTAGCATATCGTAAATGCCATAAGCCCTAAAAGGGGTGCCATCCAGGGTCATGGTGGTGGTCAGACTGGGGATGGGGGGGTGTTGGCTGCATCCTAAGCCAATTCAGCTCACAAGACTGAATTGCATAAGTCAAGTTGGCAGAAAGGGTGCTGTAACACAAACATTATTTTAAAGGTCTGCTTTGCCTCTGCCAGACCTATGCTGATTCAGACAGCAGTAGCCCTGCTGCTGATGAGGGACGCGGGTGGCGCTGTGGGTAAAACCTCAGTGCCTAGGACTTGCTGATCGCAAGGTCGGCGGTTCGAATCCCCGCGGCGGGGTGAGCTCCCGTCGTTTGGTCCCAGCTCCTGCCCACCTAGCAGTTCGAAAGCACCCCTAAGTGCAAGTAGATAAATAGGTACCACTTTATAGCGGGAAGGTAAACGGCGTTTCCGTGTGCTGCGCTGGTGCTGGCTCACCAGTGCAGCTTCGTCATGCTGGCCACGTGACCCGGAAGTGTCTCCGGACAGCGCTGGCTCCCAGCCTCTTGAGCGAGATGAGCGCGCAACCCTAGAGTCGGACACGACTGGCCCGTACGGGCAGGGGTACCTTTACCTTTACTAGCCCTGCTGCTGAACCAAGTTTGGATCTGGTGTAACTTTACACTGGTTTAACTTAGACCAAATTGCTTTATGCCACTTTCTTGTGTACAGGATTTCTCCATGGAACATTAGTTCATGAATTTACTGATTAAAATTGGTATGTATTCAGTGGTTTGTGTTTGCCTGAGCTTGAATCTGGACTAAGGATTCTGAGCTCCTGTATTCTGATTCAATACATGATGTCCAATCACAGAACATTTCAGGATTTGGGCCTCTGCCATTGGCCCTTGAAGTCTGAGTCGTGATTCACAGCTTGGAAATTTAGACAGCCAATCATGGTGGGAGTGGGAGTGGCCCAGGCTTTCAGGAATGTATATAAGCAGTTGCTTTGCCTCTGTTTCCAGTTATGTGGTTCAATAAAAGTTACTGCTGTTATCGCTGTGTCTTGCCTTGTGGGAACCCACCTACACTTCAAAAATGATTACAGATTGCAGGTCTAATAGAAATGTATACCAGGGCTGTTCCCATGAACAACTGTGTTTGGAGAAGAATGTGAAGACCAGTAATATCCAGGGGGTTTTTTCAGCCAGAACTCGCCAGAACTCAGTTTCGGCACCTCTCAGGTGACCTCCATTGCCATTATAAAAGAACAAGAGAGGTGTTCATGGTCAGTTCTGGCACATCTTTTTCTAGAAAAATAAAACTGGTAATATTTATGTTACAAAAATGAGAAACACAGAATGTATCTTGGGCCCATATTAAAAAGAAAAGAAAACAGTGCTACAAGGCTTGGATTCCCTTTGCTGTGGCTGCACTTACCCATGACAAAAGCAGGGGTGGCCATCACTTTGCCATTATGAATTTGGCACATGCTTGGACAGGAGACCTCCTGGAAATTAACTGTATGAAAAAAGTAGGATACTAAAATAAGAATATAAATGATGTTTTATACTAAATTATTTTCTCAAAATTTTGGATTTCCAAAAACAGAATTAAGAACATTTATTTCACCTCAAATTCCATGTCCAGAGTGCACTCTGCTGGTTGATGGTTTGCAAGGTCATAGATCTCAGATTTATCTCATAGGTCTTCAGTGTGGTAACATAGTGTGATAACAGGATTTGATACAAGCATCTCCTTCCATGTGGGGTTTCACCATAAGTGATAGGAGAGGGCGAATGAGGATTTTCCTACTGATGTGTGCAAAGTTATTCAGACTTGGAAACATAACTCAGAATTATATTTGTACTTGTGCTTATTTCTTCTGTGGGAATTAGGAAGTTCTAGGAGTTTTCACTTACAAGCTATTTGTTTTTCTCTTCTCCTTCAAATGCCCTCTCAAAACTCTTCTTTCCTACAGGGCCTTTGGCTTATCCTGTTAATCCTCATTCTCAAATATAAGCAAACTGTAATGCATTTGTCCACATCAATCCTGTCACTGCTGTTTTCCCCATTGTCTGTTTTAAATGGTAAGCTTTCAGGGGAGCAAGGACCCCTCTATTTTTGTCTATGAAATTTTGCAATCTCCCAGTACATAGTTGGTGCTGTATAAATATGTATTTTGAGGGGGGGGGTTAAAAATGCAGATTAATGTGGAAATGGAGTGGAATTATGTAAAAGGATCTTCCAAACAGAGGCCTTACATTGCAATTGGGTCATAAACATTCCAATTCTTCATGTGTGTTTTGCCAATCAGCTTCCACATCTTCTCGTGAGTCCTGGATATTCTGCTGCTTGGATTAGCTGAAAGGATAGAGAAAATCCATACACAGAAACAAACAGCCGAGGCCTCAGTCAGTTGTATCAGAAGGTTATGATATAAAGTATGAATTCATTTAGGAGAGGAGTGGGGAACTTCAGGCCCACGAGCCAAATGTTGCTCTCCAGTCCTCTGTATCTTTGGAACTCTTCCTACGCAACACGCTACCACATCATCACCCCAGGATACAGCCCCTCTCTTATCTTATTTCGCCCCACATGAGCATTTTTACCTGGCTGAAATGTGTCCTTGACTTCTGATAATGTCTTATACCTGCCTGGGTGGAGGGTAGAGAGGTGGGTGGTTGGGTATGCACATCCCAGCCTACTGCATGTAAGAATTTGGGCACAGGGACATAATTAATTCTGATAATGATGAATGACACTTGCAGTGCTAGCTGGTGGCAGAGTGATTTGATCTTCTGTTTTTAACATTGTCATGGAAATTACTTTTGGTTTTGCAATACACACAAAAACAGTGAGGAAAATCATTCCTACACACACACATTCTGTGAAGATGTGAGCAGGCACTTTGTACGCCTTATGAAGTTCAGTGACACACCATAGGTAAAGTAAATAACAGGCAAAAGCAAGGGAAGGTGCCAACCTGAGCTCCCTGGAGGAAGCATGAAATATACATGCAATAAATAAAAACAGATTTACCCTATGTTGCATAAATATATGTAAAGCAGCTGAGATATACAGACAACTTCAGAAAGGATGATCAGTGAAGCACACGGGGCAGGTGCTGCTTGGTAATAAGGCAAAAACATCTGTACAAGCAGGAAGGCTCAACCTAGAATCATAGAATGAGAGAGTTGGAAGGGACCTCGAGGGTCATCTAGTCCAACCCCCTGCAATGCAGGAATGTTTTGCCCAACGTTGGGCTCGAACTCACAGTCCTGATATTAAGAGTCTCAAGAATTCCTCTCTTCACAACGAAGGATAGAGAAACAAGTCTGTTCTTT